GCATTTGACATCCGCTGGCACTTTTTCTTTTTATGTATTGTTTGTTTTAATGGAGGAATTTACCATTAATGGAGGAATTTACCTCCTTATATTGTGTTTTTTAAATTTGTAAATTTAAGGGGGGGAAGGGGAGGTAAATGTTCTTAATTGCTGTCGAAAATTTTATGATGTAAGCCGCCCCGATTGTGCTCAGAGGGGCGGGGTATTAAATAAAAATTATTATTATTATTATTATTAAAAGTCTTTCTTCCACCCCTATGTCTGCTTCGAGCCAGTGTGGTGCAATGGTTTGAGCACTGGACTATGACTCCTGAAGCCAGGGTTGAATCCCCGCTCAATCCAGAAACCCACCGGGTAACCTTGGGGAAAAGTCACACATTCTCAGGCAATGGCAAGCCTCCTTTGCACAAATCTCGCCAAGAAAATCCCATGATAGGTTTGCCTCAAAGCTGCCATAAGCTGAAAGTGACTTGAAGGCACCCAAAAATAACACTGACTTCACCCATGCACCTTCTTGTGTCATTCTGGTTCTCTCTGCTTCTCTTTCTCTTATTCCCAATTCTCTTTTGGTTCCCTATCACCCTCCAGATATCTTAGAGACCCTTCACTTTTCCACTACAGAATACTTCCCTCCTTCCACCTCCTCTTCAATTTCATTCCCTTTTTTCTCTCCTCTCCAGTCAAGTTAAGTCATGGTTTGACCATTACCTCTGCCTGCCTTCGTATGTTCTGCCTCTGCCATGCTGCTTGCTGTGCCTAAAGATTGATCTTCCTCTTCTCCATCACACCTATTCTTTTCCTCTTAAGATTTATTTTTCCAGGCACCTCTTTCTCTGATTCCTTCAACCTTTGTACCATCCCTCCTTTTCTCACTGCAATTCACTGGGTAGGAAAAATATTTGTCCAGGCTGCTGAAGAATACTATATACACTTTCTTCCCTATCTCTTAAAAAGATAAGAACTGTCCTTGTGGTTTAACCAACGCCCATCCAGTTCATCAGTCTGTTCCCCAAAGTGGCCATCAAGATCCCCCCTGGGTGTTCATAGATGTATAGGTGTACAGGTGCTTTTTTGGCTGTGTCTCCGCCATCTGGCACTGTATCTCTGAGATTACAGGTTTGATTTAGCTATATTTATTTAGTTCATTTGTGTATGTGCCTATAAGGCGCCTGTCAACATATGGTGACCCAGTGAATTTCGTAGGGTTTTCTTAGGTAAAGACTACTCTGAGGTAGTTTTGCTAGATTCCTCCTCTGAAATATTGCCTACAGCACCCGGCAATTGCTGGTGGTCTCCCCTCTAAGTTCTAATCAGGGCTGACTCTGCTTAGCTTCCAAGATTAGACAGGATCTGGTACCTTCATTCAGTTCATTTAGTTCAGAACTATACTTAATTGTACATTAATATTAATTATTTAACTATGTCTTTGATTCTATTTCCACTGTTCAGGCTACGAATGGTACTGTGTACTGTGTTCGGCTGAAATATTCACCCCATTTTTTATGTCTTCCCATTTTGATCTAGAATGGAAAGGGATTTAATTAGTAATGTTATACCACACTGTACCCATTTCTTTTTATTCGACTTCTGTGCCGTAACAAAACTAGATTGCCCCTTCACAGAGCTGAGTATCTTGTGTACATCAAATAAAAACAATTCCAATTAGGTCCCCATCAGTTCCAGGTTGGTATGCAACAAAAATGTGGAGAAGTCAGGGTGGGTGGGTGGATTCTTCTATGAGACACACAACAACATCCATATTCAAGATGAGAAATGTCTGTTGGCATGGCAAGACTCCAAAGCCGACAGATGCACAGAATATTTTCAGGAGAAACCCCCAAGGGAGGAGAATTTATCAAAGCAGCATCATTAAGGACTGTGGCCACAGTACACTGACTGACTCTGGGGGCAGAGAGCTGAATAAAACATCAGAAAAACTGTGTAAGGGCAAAAACGGAGTGGTTTAAAACAGGAACACATATTGTTGTAGGTCCCACCTGTTATGCCTCACAGCAACTGACAGACTTACCCTCCATTAATATCCCAATTAATTGTTTTATTTACTGCATGCATCTGCTGAAATGGGCTCCGGTCCATGCAAAACCTACATCACAATAAACCTGTTGATTTCCAAGGTTGTAAAAGAATTTTTTGTTGGTCTTCATGCAAAATATGAACACAGCAACCATTCAGGAAATGCCTACCATACTATATTTATACCCCTCCCGATCAGTTGTTTGAGAAGTTGTGCCTCAAAGATTGTTGGTTTTCAAAACCAAACCATTAGCCTCACTCAGAGCACTCTATCAAAATACAAAAAGGATTAACTGTTTAATATGAGGTTAGGCGGTGGGCAAAATGCTCACTCCCCAGGGCTGTTTTTATGCCACCCAGGGTCAATTATTATTATTATTATTTGCAAAAAATAAATAAAAATTCAAGAATGTCCCTCCCAAATGTTCACTAGAGGAAATAAGGGGATTTTAATCAGGGGTGGTGGTGGGCTATTTTAGGTCTAGAAAGGCATGTATTTTTTAATAGGAAGCAAATAGGAATTGATCTCTGCTCACTTTAAATGGCCTCAAATTAGAGGCTTGAAGTCAGTGGCGTTCCTAGGGTTGGTGTCACCCAGTGCAGTAACTCATGGTTACCTCTTCCTCTAATTTCACACCATACAGAATATTTAGTAATTTTTTTCTGCACTAATGTTACACCTGGTGCGGTCTGCACACACACTCCGCACCCCCCCTAGTGACACCACTGCTTCAAATCAAGTATGAAAACCACTGGGATTGCAGGGAAGCAAGTATGATAAAACAACAAATAGGAGAGTTTTAAAAATGATTAGGATAAAACTGCTGGTAATGCAACATCAAGCCATTTTATTTATTTATTTATTTATTGCAAAAATGCATCTCCACTGTTGAGGATGGAATGGATTTTTAAAAAGACAGTGACTCTTTTTCTTTTTGCACACATAAAGAGAAAGGATGAGTTAAGAAAACTGCAAGAAATGACTTACAACCAGAGAGTGCCACCTTACCTGCAGTTCCATGGCCAATTTGCAACTTAGAAGAAGCCTCCAATCCGCTATATTCAAGTCAGTTACTGTTCAAAATGAAATGCTGTTTCTCCTTGGTCACCAGGAATAGGTTTTGCCAATAGTTTTATTACCAGGGACAACTGCAAAAGAATAAAATAAAGGAGACAGAAAGATTATGAGAAAGATAATGTGTGAAAATAAGCACAATATGACACCCAGAATGGTGCAACCTCATATCTTAAAATGTAATTAAACCCCACATTGCATCCCATGATAATCCAATGTATTACACCAGGGGTCAGCAACCTATGGCCCGCAGGCCACACCTGGCCCACTGAGGCCTGTCGACCAGCCCCTGCCTGGTCCTGCCACCGCTGCCACCTTTCACGGCCACAGGAGTCCTCTAGGGTGCCATTTTGGAACACAAAAGGCAGCCCTCCTGGGGGGGCCCATGGCCGCCAAAATGGTGCCCCGCCATCGTGCACATGCACGCCCAACGCAGGGCGCCATTTTGGTTTCCAAAATGGCAACCCCCACGTGCGTATACATGTGCTATTTCCCCCCCCCCGGCCCGCTGGCAAAAAAAGGTTGCCAACCCCTGTATTACACACTTAAAAACACAAACTAGGTCACATTTTGGAGACAAGAGAAGGGGGAAATTTTCATAGAATTTGATTAAGAAGAAATCATCTCTTAAGGTAGGAGTGAACCAAGGGTAGACTTTTACCCAAGGCTGTTCAGCCACTTCAGAATCCCTCCCCTGGCCTTTTTCTAGCCAAAAGGGGTGAAATGCTTTTCCTGGAGGGACATCATCTTTTAAATAGGTTGGAAGACCCTTCCCTGACTCTATTTAACATTTAAAAATACTGTTTTTTCAAACTCCAGAAATGGACTTCTGGCTATTTCCAGGTTTGGGTGGGGTTTATATTTTGGGCAATTTGTGCAGCTTCTAGAGCAGGGGTAGGCAACCTTTCCCCTTTAAGGGCTGAGGGACTTCAGCTCCCAGAAGCCTCAGCCATGTTGGCCAATAGTCCCATGTTGGCCAATAGCTCCTGGGATTCTGGGAGCTGAAGTCCCTCGGCCCTTAAAGGGGAAAGGTTGCCTACCCCTGTTCTAGAGGGTCCTGAGTGCAGAAACTTAGACCAATGCAGCTGCCCTCTGCTCTTCTTGTTGTTGTGTGTCTTCAAGTCAATTCCGACTGATGGCAAACCTAAGGCAAACATATCATGAGGTTTTCATGGCAGGACTTGTTCAGAGAAGGAGGTTGAGACTTGTGACTTGCCCAAGGTCACCCAGTGGATTTCCATGGCTGAATGGAGATTTGAAACTGGTCTCCCAGTGTCCTAGTTCAATATTTAAGCACTACACCATGATGACTCCACTTACAGCAAACCCATTCTAGGGTTTTCCTGTCAAGATTTCTCCAAAGGAGATTTGTCATTGCCTTCCTCAAAGGCTGAGAGAGTGTGACTTGACCCAAGTGACTCAGTAGGTTTCTATGGCTGAGTGGGGATTTAAATCTTGGTCTCTTTGACTTCAAGTCCGACACTCAAGCCATTATACCAGGAGTCAGCAACCTACGTTCCAGGGGCCAGGTGCGGGCCCCCGAGGCCTCTGGACTGCCCCCTGCCGCCGCCGCGCACACTGCCCCCCCCCCCACGTCGCAGCTGCCATTTTGTTTTTCAAAATAGCGGCCGCGACTCGTTTGCACATGCGCAGTAATCCTACGAATGAGCTGCGGCCATCATTTTGTTTGCCAACATGGCGGCTGAGATTCGCTCGCGCATGCGCAGTACTCCGGAAGTACTGTGCATGCGCAAGCGAGCGTGCGCACTCATGTGCAGTACTTCCGGAGTACTGGGCACGCGTGTGTGTGCCGCCATTACCTCCCCCCCGGCCCGGCAGAAGACCTGGGGACCAGCAACTGGCCCCAGATCTGAAAATCTTACCGCCCCCTGCTTTAATGGGTATTATACTAAACACAAACTCCTGATCCTATTGCATTTTTGGTGTCAGCCCCATGATGTGGGGCAGAGTGATCTTGTGACAAACATGGAGTGAAATCAACCATGGAGCTGTCCGGTGACATGGGAGCTCCCTTCTTGTGTTTATTTTGATTTCAAAATCTAGTTGTATGTAGAGCGGGGGTCATCAACCTATGGCCTGGGGGCGGCCCCCCGAAGCCTCTGGACTGGCCCCTGCCACCCTCCACCACCTCCGTGTGCCTTGCAGCCGCCATTTTGCGCATGCCGCCATTTCCCCCCCCCCCCCAGCCCAGCGGAAGACCTGGGGACCAGC